GCCCCCCCCCCCCCCCCCCCACTCCTTTCAACACCATTTCCCATAAAGTTTTTCGATACAGCATTACGGTTAATAAATTTTAAATAACGGGGACTGTCGTGGTCAAGAGGTACGTGTTCGCCTCTTTCAAGACTTCCCTGGACCTAAACCAAACAGTGACAGAGGAAAGGATTCTTCAATAAAATGTTCTCCTTTCCCTTACTTTTCTGGTTTCTAGTCCTGTTCTGTCTGTCACCTGCTTTCATCTCTACCCCCTCCCCCACCACTGGACTCCTCTGGGCCCCTCTCTCCTTTACTCCAGGTTCTTTCTACTGCTTCTCCTGGCTCCCTCTTATTGCTGTCTTTCAGCTACGCCCTTGATCTAAGGTTAGGTAAGATCGAACACTTAGCCTTCTCAGATAAGGGCAAACAATCTCAGAGGTCCCTGAGCAAGTTGCGTACGTTAAAAATCCCTTGGAGGTCCTAAAATCGATAAGAGTCGGCTGCAGCCGCCTGCCAACCCTGAAAAAAAATCCAAACTAACTCCTACCAAACCGAAAATACTCTATTCAGTATAAACGTTTTTATAAAGTACCTTCGAAATCGGAATGTGGTTACTCGAAGGCAAGGGAGCCAAACAAGTGGGGAAAACAGCTACATGCCGAAAAATCAGTTGCACTGCAGGTTGAAGAACCAGAGCAGTCGACTACCCCTGAGATCTAACAGGGTGACGCAAAGAAGAAGAAATGAATTACATCCGAGTTACAACCTGTAGACAAGGTCCATACTATTCTTTAACAAATTCCACTAAATAGCAACAGTGGAAATACCATGGACATGAACAAAATAACAAAAGCACGAAATCATAAAATTATTTCTTTATTCATACATTCTTGCAAGGGAGTGCATTCTTCAATGTCTGAAGTCTGAAGTACAATTGTGCTGCCGTATGTTCAGTACAAGATTAGGAAAAATGTCACTCCCCAGCCACCTGTCCCTTGTTGTCATGGTTGATGGTTGCCTCGGATGTGTGCATCGAGAACAATCTCCACTGCTCTTTCATAATTTGTCTGAAGGAGCACTCCGGTTGTTTTTGTTTTCTTTTTGGAGACAGTGGGAGATGTTTACAAGATACAGCATTACGAGTCTGCTTTTTTAAAATCTTCTCTCACCATAAGAGCCTTTGCAACGGTCTTGGGATATATAAAAGCATGTTCAAAATAGACAATTTTCCTTTTTCGCATAAGATTCAAGAGCCCCTGGTCATTATGAAACTCTCTGGGTATACTGGCATTTGCTCTTTTGTGTTCAGCTAGGTTTTCAGATTTTTAGATCTTTGTTTTTCTGTTTTTCAAAGAGTCCATCCTTCTCTTGCACCCTTCCATCTTCATTAGCAGCGCATGATTAAAACTGGTATGAATGCATTAAAGGATTGAGGTGGGAGTCTACCCAAGGTCAAAAACAGAAAACCACTGGTAGGTAGTATTGGCAGCAATGAGGGTAGCAAAGACCACAAATCGTGAATTTGATGATGATGTTGATGATGATGATGATGATGATGATGATGATGATGATGATGATGATGATGATGATGATGATGATGATGATGATGATGATGATGCAATAGTCATTGTAATTGAGTAAATGTTCTTATATTATTCAATATTGAGTAAGTTGAACATAATGGTGGGAAGCAAGATTATAGAGATTATCAGTTTGAGGTAGTAACCAGAAAGGTCTGATGGTAAACAATATCATGTCATGTGATAGCGATATGGAACATAGTTCTCGAACTATTATGGAGTGCAGAGAATGCTCGTTGTCGAAATAACCTTCAACTTTATGGCCATGATGTCAGTCAATCTTGAAATCCTCAGACAAAAAACAAAACAAAACCCCAACAGTTTTTTAAACCTTTTGAAATCGGAATACGTCATAGTGCGACTTTCAATTTCTTTAAAAGTTCTCCCCCCCCCCCCTCCTCTTATTTTCCATGAACAATGAAAAAAAATACGGGCCCAAAATGAGAAAACGCTTTAAGAATACAGTAGTCAAGAGTGTACTACTCCAAAAACAAAAAGGACAAAGCTGAAAGTGGTGAAAATAATTATGTTTCTGGAATGTTTGTTTTCTTGAAGGTGTTTTTGCGCTCCTCATTGACACAATTTAGATTATTAAGGAGGCAGGCTCAGGTTGAGAGGGAAACAACATCCTTGTATGCAGAACAACCGATATACTTTATAAATTATCTCCCTCGGGAACACAGGTCGATCATGATTGGGACAGCGAAGTGCATAACCGCTACACCACAGACACCGGTTTATAAGCTGTAAATAAGAACGTTATTGGTAACCTATTTTTGTGAGTAGATCAAAGTGGGCTAACAATGTGTGCAGGGTGTGAGAGCTATAAACTTTGTATTGCTGAATGAAGGAAATAAATGTATGAAGAAGGAAAATAGATAGCAATAATTATTTCAAACTATATGTTTAAAAAAAATCGTAAATCGTATCCTGCAAACTTAACTACTCTAGAATATTTTACAACATAAACGTATTGATAAAAAAAGGTCTACATTATGTACGGTAGTGTTGCGCATGACCAGGACAAATGTCTGTTATCTGACTGGCGAAGTCTACTATTGTCACGGGCATACGAAGAACCATGCACGTTTCCATCACTTTTCTTCAGTGTCTCACATCTTGAACTCTCTTGCACAGTAGTGGCATATTTTTTTCTCCCACTTACAACATCTTCTGTTTATTCCAGTTTAGTGTCGACCAGAAACCCATTAGAGTTTCATCTTGCAAAAATCAGTTGTAACCCTCCTTTCAAAATCCACAGACTGCCTCCACCCCCTCTTTCCAAAAAGACATCAAATAGAACGTAAAACTTTTTTTAAAAAAAGGTTACCATAAATATTCTTTTAAAAATGTTTTGTTCTATATACTGTAAGATGTCAAATTTACACGTTTGGCCGGGCACACCCTTGGAAAATTTCCACTTGTCGCTCGGTTGCGAAGTAGTGCTATGTCACTTGGCAGAGACGAGAGACGAACGGGCGAAAAGTGCCTCATTTGCACATTTGCATTCGTGTGCAACGAGCGGAAATGTTCCTAGTGTGGGGGCCTCAGGATGCTGTCTCTGCATTGGTGCTAGGAGGGGAAGGGTGAGGTAGGTTTTGAAGAAGCGTGGCGACAGGAGACTTGTAAGTATTATATCCACTCCTTGGACGTTGTTATGAGAACGCTTCTGTGTGCGGGGTAAACAAATCTGCCCTAGTTCATTAGCCCATAAGCAATTTCTCGCGTCGTATTATACGATGGATAATTAAACCGCGTGGCCCCTAATACCGGGTGCCCATTGCAGATGGGATCGGGTCGGGTCAGGTCTGGTCCAATCGCTTCACTCGTCGCCTGAAAACAAACGCGTTAGTCTTTGAGGCGACGAGTCGGGTGCTATCTGCTTGAGCCACGATAGCCGCTTTGCGCCCTCAATCTGGCTAGTAAACTGTCTCAACCCGACCCGATCCCCCAATGGGCACCCCCCCCCCCCCCAATTAAGTTGTTGCACATGCGTCAGTCAGATATACCTGTTTGTGTCTTTTGACAGTGCGCCTGGTCTGGCCGCTCTGTTATATGGCATTGGTTTATTTGCAGAAAGTCTCTTACGTAGATACACTTGCCTTATAACGTACACATATGTTGTGATAAATGTCACTTCATACTTCACGTAAGCGTAATCATGAATTTCAAAAGTCTGTCAATACTTTGAGCAAGTCAAGCCTTCGCATCAACCAACGAAGCGTAGTTGAACAAGCTCCAAGATTTTGGGAGATTTGGACAAGAGAGGTCTGACTTTTTACACTAGAAAGCCCCATACACATCGTTTGTAGACTCAAGCCTTAGTTTTTATATTATTGGTTCATCCTCTATTGTGTAAACCATTTTCCCAAAAGCATGTATAACTTCCAAGTTTTACGATATGTATTCTTACTCAAATGAAATCAATTACTCTACTCTCAATGGCAAAACTCTCATCTGTTTCATCTACAGACTTATTTTCTTCAGCAACCCCCCAGATATTCCCCGCCTCGTTCCCTTTGTGGCGTTGAGTCTTACCATCGCCAAATCCTTTGTTTGCGTGACCTTTGCCCCCCAACTCGGCCATGTGTAAATCTTTTCTTTTATGCAAGTGGAACTTTTCTTTCTTGTGCTCATAAAACTCGTAAAGAGTCAGAGAAATAAGAATTACGTTTTTCAGACTGAAAGCAGTGATTCCAACACTGAAGCCATGCCACAGAATCATTCTCACCAGTAGATTCGGAACGTTAACCATTAAAACCACTAGAAGTCGGTGAATATAAACCATTTTCTTCCTGAGTTTATCTCTCCCGAATTTTGTCCAACTGAGAGTAAAAAGAGGAAGGGCAGGAATGATCAAATTAAATGCTGCCACAACAAAAACGCCTTCTTCGAGCCCCTGCCACATGATGTATACAGTCTCCTTGTCGAAAAGAATCTCCAGAATATCCACAGTGTCCAGGAGATCAAACACAACCGTCCCAGTGAGCTCTTCGATGTACCGGCGCCGGTCACTCCCGAGGGGGGCATCATGCTGTGTTGTGAGCAGCAACAAGAAGATGCAACTGCTCAACGCTATCGTCGTCTTCATGGTGTTGGGGCCAAAAAACGTAGGCTCCTCCTCCTCGATCTCGTCGCCCGTCGCCACGAAAATCACGATAGTTTTCGCAGATAACACACCGTTGATGAGCAGCCACGACACCCAGGCGATGCTGAAGTAAGTGGCGTGCTCGTCCACTTTCTGCCTCTCCAGGGAAACGTTTGACAGGTAGACGCAAGCGATGAGCAAGACTAAGTTCAGGAGGTCAGCCGCAGTCCACAACAGATGAAAACTATTTAGATGATAAATCAGGTAGTAGTCCATAACAGCTGCCTGAAAGTAAAAATTTGAATATCAGTATAGGTGACGTCTGTTGTGTAACGATTAGGCTTTTCGCCGAGCTGGGATAAGACGTGAGTTTACTTCCCTGAGGTGGAAGTTTATTTTTATCGAGGATCACTGTCTAATAACAACTTTATATCTGCATCACATTCAGCCCATGTTGGCGTTGGTGGGCAAAGTCGAACCAGCCCGCCTCCCAAATGATCTGAATACTGTCCATTGGGGTGAGAACTGTGTCAATCATGCAGATATTCAGATTGACATGGAATTTGCGCCCTTTGAAAATAAAATGAGACTTGTGAGTCACTCAAGTCCATTTGGCTTGAATGATGTTTTTACCTTCAGTACAATAATGTTCGATAGACAGCCCAAAATGGAACGGGATAATGAGACATTAAAACACTACAAAAATGCATTATCCATTAACGATATCGAACCTAGGCTGCCCACACAAACACACAAGCCGTCTTTTGTTTAATTTTTTTTTAAAACAATGTCCCCGTTTTTTCCCGAGATAAGACATCGATGATCTCTGAAAAATACGTAGTACTTTATTGTAAATGAGCCTTTTCTCTCTGAGACCAGGAAAAACTGATTAAAAAGGCACATGTTGGCAATTAAATGATGCTGCTCGAAATAACAATGCTGAAGCCCAGAGAGACGCCCGTAAGCTGCGTACATTTACGAGTAGAAATGAAGCTTTTAAATGCTCAAAGTATGGCAAACACTTCTTTGTCAGAGGTCTCAATTGTGACAGCAGAAGCCAAAAGTCATCTTAATTCTTATGTATTTCTTCTGTTTCTCTTAAGAAATATTATCCTCTCACAGATGCATTGGCCATCGTCAGACATTGAAGGACAAACTATTATGATCAGTCGTTTGGTCACCTGATGAGAACGTAAAACGATAAGAACCTAAAACGTTTGTCGTGTCTTTTCTTTTTCTCGCTCTGTTTCCTTTAGTTACTTCATTTATGAGCAGCAATCTTGTGACTGATTTTGATTTTTCAAAGAGCCTAAACTGGAGACGCGTAGAGCAAGTTACCAAACAGAAATTCTTATTCGTCTAATTGCATCATAATACATGTAATTTGAATTCTCCCTAGTAAATGGTTTTAACTTCTCTGAGCTTAAATAGTGCATTTCCCCTGTAGATTGGAACCATGTCTTTCAGATGGTTGGGAAGCAGCATGTTTATAAAGCGTGTATTTTGTTTTTGAATTCTATTTTCTTTAAATGGATATAAAGAAGATTGAGCTCGCAAATAAAATCGCTTGTAGGAATAACAAAACGTAATCTTTAAGGGACATACGCAGGAAGGCAATAATTTCCAAAAAGAATGAAATAGCGAATAAAAGTAGACATACATAACTTGTATAGTGAAACAGAATAATTACACTTTGATAACATGAATATTAGGCCAGGGCAAGATCGACGGCAAAAAGACTCGAGGCCTCGATCCTAAAACTGAAAAAGGATCGAGGAATCGAGTCCGATTTTCGAGTTTGGAAGATGCTTCAAGTGGGCTCTTTAGGCCTAGAGGCCATGACTTGAACCCTGCTAAAAATAGCTCTTAAGATCGAGACCTCGAGTCTTGAACACTGCTAAAAATAGCTCTTAAGATCGAGACCTCGAGTCTTGAACACTGCTAAAAATAGCTCTTAAGATCGAGACCTCGATTCTCGAGTTTGACAGAAGTTAAGCCTGCGTGCGTGCCAAGACAGTTGGCTTTCACGCATTTGTGTGTGTGTGTGTGTGTGTGTGTGTGTGTGTGTGTGTGTGTGTGTGTGTGTGTCGTGTGTGTTTGCGTGTGTGTGTCGTGTGTGTTTGTGTGTGTGTGTGGGGGGTGTGTGTGTGTGTGTGTGTGTGTCGTGTGTGTTTGCGTGTGTGTGTCGTGTGTGTTTGCGTGTGTGTGTGTGGGGTGTGTGTGTGTGTGTGTGTGTGTGTGTGTGTGTGTGTGTGTGTGTGTGTGTATGCGTGTGTGTAGTGTGTGTGTGTGTGTGTTGCCTCCCTTCTATCACTCTTGCCAATGCGTGGGACACAGGTTCCTTCTCTCTTGCACCCATTGCTTCCTGATACGTCAAAGCATGCTTTGATGACAAATGTTTTGTTATTGCCGACGTTGTGTTATTGTATGCCAAAACATTACAAATCATACAAACAACAGTACTGTGTTTTCGAGCTTATAAAAAAAGTCCCAAGCTAAAGATCGACGTCCAGACATGATGACTCATTGATGTCAACTCAAAACACACAATAAGATTTACAAAAGAATACGTGTACAGTGAAGATGAAAGTGCAGTGAAATTCAAAAGCAAGCGTTCAATGTTCAAGACAAAAGAAAGAGAAAAGGGAAGTGAACGATTTAATTTGGGATGGGCGTGGGTGAGGCAACAACATTCAAAGTAGCAGTACCGCACCTAGGCTATTATTGGGACGTGACATTTTTGTTGCATTGAGTCCCGAGCAGTTGTGAATTGCTACAACATCGGTGGGACAGGATGATCTAATACTGTTTTCTCTTTCTCTTTTTTCTAATACGAAGCAACAGAGCACAGGCACATGCAACCTCGATTCATCCACCTTGAAGACACAGTCTTGAATCTACATGTATCAAGGCCTAGTGCACGCCAAATTCAAATAGTGAAAAAAAAACAACATAAGTAAACAAAACTCACACAAATTAATTTAACTTGGTAATCGAGCATAAAATTGGGTTCCTCGCGTAAATTTTGCTAAGTTTGGGTCGCTGATCACGAAAATCGTATTATTTCTTAAATTTGACCAATATTTAAGAAATTTTTGGAATGCATTTTTAACTCCGCCTAGGCCAACATCAAAGAAGCCGCCTTATGCGCCGGATCAGTCCTGTCTTGGTGCGGTGTCTGTTTTGAAGCAAAAAACTCGACTGTGAGGTGGGACAGCCCTAGGCCTATCCCATGACAGGACTGCAATAGTGAGGTAAAGATTTAGATTCTTGCCTCGATTCTCGGAGTCTAGGCTAGGAATCAGGCTTAAAAAAAGGAGACGGGAGGCGTCGACCCTGGGCGGACTCGAACCTTAGAGTCTGAGAACAAGATCGATTCTTTGAGTCCTCGTTTGGACTCGAAAGAATCGATCCCAGAGTCGATCTTGCCCTGGCCTAATGAATATAAACGAAATGAAAAAAAATGAATAGTGTAATAAAAAACAACAACAACAACTTAGTAAATAATTAATGTGGTATAATGAAAAAGGGAAAAAAATCATAATAAACCAAAAATCGAATTGGCTTTCAATATATTACTGAGGTAAAAAAAAAAAGAAAAGTAAGATGATGTACTAAACAATGACAGAAATAAATGAAAGGTCTTTAAAGACTCCTAGGTCACCTGAAGCATAAAGAGCAGTATACAGAAGACAGCAGCCGGCACACCGTGCGTCAGATCACAGCAGCGCACCAGAGGGTCCGCTAATTTGACCATCTTGAGCCAACTGACCACTTCTCTCTGTCCCGAAAGAAACTAGTTCTCCTGCTGCTGCTGCTGTTGTTGCTGCTGCTGTTGTTGCTGCTGCTGTTGTTGTTGCAGCTGCTGTTGGTTCAACAGATTTTGGGCTCTGGATACTTGGCTCAGTATCATATTCGGTTTGACGAAAGTTTTTAATGCAATTTCCTGGAGTGAGGACAAGAAGAATGTAACGGTTTTCTTGAAACCTGCAAATAGAAATAAAAGATATGTACAATCCGTGACGCCCAGGGAGGCTTGAGTGGAAAAACAAAAAAAGTGATACTTTACCGGTAGATTCAAATGAGGGGTAAAATAGTTTGAAGTCCTGTATAGAGCCACTTCAAGGGAATAATAATAATATATCCGCGTCTTTATTTTTTTCGGTGGGGGGGGGGGGGGGGGTTCCCGGTCGCTCATCTCTACAAGCGTTGTGTAGTACTAGATCTAGTACGTTATACTGAGAACAAGTGTACGTCTGATCATGTTACATTTAAGACATCCTTTTCACCAACAACTTTCGGTGGTTGTATCAAGATGATAGACTGTCCAATTTTGAAAGCAGAGCTGTAAAAGAAACTTTCCAATGTTTGCCAGGAATTAAGTAATCGTACTAGGGGACACACGGGTTTGTGGTATGATTGTCTCGCTCTTAATTAGCCGTTGCACGTGTAAGAGGTGGGTTCGATTACCGAGTGGGGACGTTATCTCCGTCAGTCTGTTGGGGTTCGGATCCCAGTAAGTCCGGGTTGGCCCTCATAGGAATAGTCGAATCACCCACCTCCTAAATGGTCAAAAGTGCGTCCATGGAGATTTAACTCATTTACAGTCAGTCTTAGAGAACGAGCGTATAAGGGGAAGCAACCAGACGAAAACGTATTATTGAAAGTGTTTAATCTCAGTGTTAGGGGAAGACCGTTCACTCGATGTTTTTTAAAATCTTCTTTAACGTAGTCTAAACAGCTGTATGCACTGCTCACAGTCGAACGCTCCGTATCCCGGACTCTAGCATGGGGATCATCAGGAGAAAATGCGTCGTGGGTTTCGGGCTTTTCCTCTCTACAGCTTTTCTGACGCACCGAGCCCCCTCACCGATGTGAGGTCTCCATGTTAGTTCGACTGTTTTCCTCTGCTGCCAACTTTAGGATTCATTCCAGCCTGGGTCCTCTCGCTTCAACCAGATCCAGTGACTGGCTTTCTCTGCTGTCTCCTGAAGGGAGTTTGTGAGTTCGTTGCTTTTCTTTGCAGAAAGTCCTGCCACTCTCATTACGGGCGCTTGTTGCTACAAAACCTCTGCATCCTACCTCTACCGGAAAACGGGTTGCCTTCCATCCTGCCTCCTCACATTGTTCGACGAGTGCCTCGTAACGGTTTCCTTTCCGCTCATGAGCGGTATAGATATTGTCCTCGTGGGGCACCGTGAGCTCTACCAAGTGCACCTCTTTGTCTTTTTCCTCCCATAACACAATGTCTGCCTTTTTCGTAGTTGGAATGGGGAAGAATCTCTCAAAGCCCTTTAAGTCAGCAGCTACCTCCCATGTGCCTCCGCTCTGGTCTTCCATAGCTTCGTTCGCTTTCTTTCTTTTGATAACCTTGCTTCCTTGCGGAACGAACGCAATCTTGGTAAGTCCATGCTTCTGTATCTTGGGGGCATATTTTTTTTCTTCCACCTGTTTTGTCGCCATTGTCGTGAGCACTTTCAGCACCTCATTGTGCCTCCAGGTGTATCTGTTAAGAGCCAGGTTGCAGTTTGACAAAATAGGCTTCATGGTTCCTAGCTTACCGCATCTACACTTGTTGTCCTCCTGTACCTTCCATCTGACAAGGTTCACCGGTGAAGGCAGAACATCATACGTAGACCGGGGAAGAAAGCTTAGCCTTGATGTATTCCACTTCCAGATGTCACTCCACCCGACTTTTCTTTCCACTACATGCTCTTCCCGTCTGGTCATTTGTCCTTGCTGGCTACACTGGATGAGATGAATTTCTCGCCTCTCTGCCTCCATCTTTTGCATATGTCTTGTTGCAGCTTTTCGTCTGTCTCGCTGAGACATTTTCCTGAAAGGTCTAAAGTCGCCGTTAACTAGCCCTAATCTGTCAGGTTGCGCTGGACCGACAATGTCGCCATGCTCCAATGCAGAGATGATCTCGTCAGCTGCAACTTTTGCCTTCCACTTTCTGGCTGTTTTGACATCTGGAAGTTTTCCACTGATCTCCTTATCCCTTGATTCTCTCAACGTCAAAACGGTTCTAATCTTGCCTGCTTTGTAGATCTCCACGATTGACGTGAGAGGTAGTTGAAGCGCACCTCTATGTCTGTACAGGGATGACGTGTTAATGGTACGGGGTAGCCCCAGCCACTTCCTGATGTAGCTGTTAAACTTTCTTTCGATCATCTCAACTCTTGACAGAGCAACTTCATACATTGTCAGGGTAGAGGGCAAACTGTAGACACCATATCTTATGCTTTCCTGGAAGCTTTGTCCGGTCAATTGCTTTCAGCCCATTTTCAGCCTGCTTCATGATTTTCACGCCTTGACTCCTATCAGACAGAGTTCCTGAGTACCACCGACCCAAACTTTTCATAGGTTTTTCTTTTACTGAGGGCATTTGCTCCCCTGCCATTGTGAACTTCAGTTGCTTCTGTTTTCCTTTGTGAATAGTCAGGCTTCTAGATTTTTTTAGCTTTAAACTTCATCCTGGCCATGTGATAAGCTTATCGAGCCGATTCAACACACTTTGCATTGTGTCTTCATCTCTTGTCAGTAGGGTCACATCATCCATAAAGGCTTTCTTTGGTGATCTCACCTTTGCTTCTTCTTCACAGCATTTACGCAACAATGACATAAAACGCATAAAAATGCCACAGCAAAATAATGCAGTTGCAAAAAGAGCAAAAACACCTAGTTGCGCTCAACGTGCAAATCAGGGAACTGGAAAAGAAAGTTTGACATTTTAGTTTTTGTTGGGGATCACAAGGTAATCATGTAGAGTCGTCTCCTGATTCGTCCTGAAGGGTTGAGGCGCCGTACCATATCTCTCCGCAATTGCATTAAAAAACACATAATTAACAGCCAGATAGTTGGTAATCGTGTTCTTGTGCTCTCATAACTCGATTGTATCCACGCTAAAAGGTTCGACCTCCGTACTGTAATGCTTTCAGACGGCACATCAATAATTACTCATCTCGGAAGGATTATGGGTTTATTTCGGCTTAACAAGCCACTCACTTTTCCACGATAAATTAGAACGGGAAATCCCGGTTTTACATTGACCGTACTATTTGATATTTTTCTCCTTATATGCTTTTTTAGCACAAAAAAAGGGGGGGGGGGTTATAGACTTAAAGTGCCTTGTTTTTGAGTAAAATGTGTCTTTATTGTATTGTTTAAAGTGAATTCACATAGCTTTCTGGAAGTCTTATCGAATTCATCAACAGTGGTCATCCAGGTACAGAACAACACGAATTTCAAACAACGTTCTCACTTTAAAGAGGGGGCCTGAGACTATGGCACCCTCATAATTGTAATTCTTGATAGAAGCGGGAGTATTACCTGAAAGCATAACAGATCTATGCCATCTCGTAAAAAGAGAGCATGTGCTCAGGTAATTTTCCCTACTATGCTGTAGCCCCACCAAAAAACGAAACCCAACAACAACAACAAAAATAAAACCGCAACCAACAAACAAACAAACAAACAACAACAACAACAACAACAACAACAAAACCCCACAACAAAAACAACCACACACACGCACACTTTATGATTATTACTCTTTTCTGTCCAATGACCATTCTCTACCTTGAACAAACAAAACAACATTATATCTTTATCTATTATTAACATTTTAAAAAAATTATTGTACATTCGACCTCCCCTATTCAACAGATTAAGCTGATACATTTTGCAAAATTTCCGCTATATTTATTGAAAACTATCGCCACCTAGAACGCTGCATTCAGTAAACCTCGTTCGGTACTCACGTGAAAATTAGACTGAGTGCACTAGACTTGACACATCAGTGAAAGTGGCCACTGTTGCTCACTCCTTGATCTGCACAAAGAATAGCACAGTGTATGAAGCTTGCTTTTATTATACGTTCGTTTCCTATGAGGCATGCAGCATAGACTTAACTGATGATAATGACACCAAGCCCTTTAAAACATTTATTGTGCCCATTCCGACCGTGATTTCATCTAATTTCACCAAAACTCTTTTGGCTGCCCTGCTCAGTCCAGTTCATCACCTAGGTTGTGCCCCCCCCCCCCTTTTTTATTTTAAATCTCCACTACCCCGCGCCAACCCCCGCACGCATGTAGCGTAGATATTCTGTTACACGCTAGGATATTATTATCCTCCGCATTTCTCCCTCGAGGAACGCCATGCGTGAGATCAATCTACGTTTTCCTGGCATTATGCGGCTCTTTGTGGGTAGTTAATAAATAATTGAAATGACCGGTCACTACTGAGAATTGACATGGTTCTTGTCTTGTTTATGTTAGGTTGTCGGAGTTGTGGTGTGTGTGTGGGGGGGAGGGGGGGGTGGGTGGGGGGGTGTTCGTTTGTTTGTTTTACTTGTTGTTGCTTGTTGTGTGTGTGTGTGTCTTTTTGCTTGATCGAGATGTTTGCGATTGAAGGAGGTGCGGTCGCCTGTTGTCAGATGAAAAACTAGAGAAAAAATGGCTGCCAAAGTTTACTGACTTTCAAAGCTTGAATGTCCTTGGAAATTGGAAATTTACATTTTTTTTTGCTGCCTTTGATCGATGTTTTTCCAATAGAATGCACACATAAATATGTTTTCTAAATGGACATGTTCTTAAAAGGTGTTCAAGAAAAAAAAATCTGATAATAATTGCCCAACAAAGTGGGAGAATGCCGGTTTCTTTGATTCTTTGGTTTCATTTTTTGGTTAAGGTTATCATTGTTAACAGTATGTGAGGCAAAAGTATAGATTAAAAGGGCTACTAAAAACAGAAAGTAGGAATATATTCCTGTTATTCCTGTTATTTTTTGTTTTTCTATATAAACATTATGTCGGCTGATCGTATAAATCAATGGTTTGAATTTTGAATCATTGTAATTAGCTTTTAACACCTACTGCGAAATCTCAAGAGGCCAGGATCGACATCACCTCCCGTAAAACTATTGACGATAATTTATAATTGCAGGATTTTAATGGTTGCAGGAATGTACAGTGGAAGGCAAAAATGATAAATAATAATAACTGCTTTTATATAGTGCATATCCGCGCTCCAGAGTATGCTCTATGCGCTTGACAGCTAGATCTATTATTAACCCCAGCAGACACTAGAACAATCAGAAATATTCCCAGCTTTCTATGAAGCATTGTGCAAGCTGAAGATTTCATGCGCTGAAACTTGAACACACTGACAAGATCTTTATAGCCGGGTACCCATTCCTATCTGGGTGAGGTGAGGAAAAATCGAGTGAAAAGCCTTTCCCAACGACATAAAATTATACCCCTGGCGGGATTCGAACCCACAACCTAACAGTTGCTAACACGACATAAGTTATGAAACAACAAAATAGAGCTCAAAAGGGCATGACAAATAAAGGGAAAGAACACCTACCAACAGCAAGAAAAAGAACTAGAATTAAGGAAAACAGGGTTATAGTTCTTGTCCGGTGTGGTAATAAGTTTGACACCCAGCGAAAACGGCGGTCCCTGCACATCACAAGTACACAAAATGTACAATACTGGGGTTCACCTTTTTTTAGAACTCGAATGTTCGAAGAAGATTCCAGAAAAGACAGATGTCATGAGTAAGCTGCTTTGGTGTCACGGATTTCTTGACTCGTAGTTTCTCTTTGGACCAAAGTATTTTATTCGACAATATCAGGATTCTTATCTTTTCCCCTTTCTTTTTCTCTTCTACAACCCCTTCTTTATCTGTGTGTCTGTCTGTCTGTCTGTCTGTCTGTCTGTCTGTCTGTCTGTCTGTCTGTCTGTCTGTCTGTCTGTCTGTCTGTCTGTCTGTCTGTCTGTCTGTCTGTCTGTCTGTCTGTTTCTCTCTCTCTCTCTTCCCCCCCTCTCTCTCTGTCTCTCTCTCTCTCTCTCTCTCTCTCTCTCTCTCTCTCTCTCTCTCTCTCTCTCTCTTCCCATCTGTCACCTCTCTTCTTTTTCTTCTTCTTCTTCTTCTTCTTCTTCTTCTTCTTCTTCTTCTTCTTCTTCTCCTCCTCCTCCTCCTCCTCCTCCTCCTCCTCCTCCTCCTCCTCCTCCTCCTCCTCCTCCTCCTCCTCCTCCTCCTCTTCTTCTTCTTCTTCTTCTTCTTCTTCTTCTTCTTCTTCTTCTTCTTCTTCTTCTTCTTCTTCTTCTTCTTCTTCTTCTTCTTCTTCTTCTTCTTCTTCTTCTTCTTCTTCATCTTCTTCTTCTTCATTCATTCATTCTTTCTTTCATTGTTCGAGGCTCCCTTTCATCCAAGTTTGTTCTTCGTTTATCGACGCCGGTGTGAAGTCATTCAAATCACTGTGCTATGACGGTCAAAATACAGACATTCACTTCCAACTGAAGATACTATTGCCTCGTTATCTTCTAACAAATATATACGGTCTGTCTTTCACAACACCATAGCATCTGTAGTGTATCCAGGAAGCACAAAAGGCTCGCGTTCCGTGCTACTGTAAAAAGTTGTTCCCGCATCCGATCCGGACATTGGGGATTGCCTTGTTAGAGAGACAACTTCCTGGGCTTTCGGCATATTGTGGTAGGGTGGCCAGTTCTTTTCCACGCCACCTTTACTTCCCAGACTCGAAGCCAGGTACCCATGACTGCTGGGTGGGCAGGAGGGGGCGTAAAAAATCCGTGTCCGAATCGAGGCTTGAAACCGGACTTTCCGCTTCGGAGACGAGCGCACTAGTCGCACTGCCACCGCACCCTCTCCCCCACCGCTGAAAGCTGACAAAATGCTTTTTTATCATTTTGGCGCCAACCTTTTTTTTATATGCTAAACCGAAAACCTGATCAGTTAGCCTACGTGTGGGAAGGAAAAAAAATCAAATTGAAACTAGAATTTAGACTTCGGAATGACTCTATTTTTACATGATTATGCTAGCAAAAACCTCTTTTTCTCGAAACATCTCTGAACAAAAAAAAAGGCATTTTGTCAGCTTACAGCAGAATGGTCATTCCAGTGTGGGGGGACATTTAGGGAGTATCGCAGCCTTTCTGCTTAGACGGTGTATTTGTCTTGATCGTGGGTTACTCCTGATAGGCAATATCGAACCCGCCTCCTAAATGATCTCATTTGTGTTGATAGGGCCATAGCTACCTTCTTTTAACAACAACCCCCCCAAAAAAATTTTTTTTTTTAAATTTAAAAAATTAATTAAATAATACCATGGGAATTTCAACGAAAGCCAAGCCATGCGATGATTCCAGCGAGCAGTAGGCCTATTGCCAAATTCCCACTATTTGTGCAGACCGAGGAGAGCACACAATTCTGCATCAAACAACCCAAGGCTATTGGCAAAATTGCAAAGTAGGACTTGTGTACGCTCCACAGAATTAGAACAGAAGAACAGACAGATGAGGGAATCCAGAGAGCTCTACCTGCCCTTTCCGCACGTGAGTATGAGTTGTACCCCCACCCCCTCCAAATCCTCCTGGACATAAAAATGTGTTTGTCAGGAGGTGGGACAACAGTTGGGGTGGGGGGTAAAGGGTACGGAGAGGGGCCAAGGGTCCATCCTCATCGATTGTATCAAGTTCTCATTGCCATGGCAAATAGTGTAAGCCTACTTGTTTAGACAATCAATCTCCATCGACACTGAAATAGGGAACTCAAACCTCCAAGGTACATAATTAATCATCGATATACATGTGTTGGCGAAATCGCAGACACCACGACCCAGACAGGGAAATAATTTGTCAGAGGAGAATACTTCAACATTGGTGAGCAGTTCCCGAACCACAGAGATCTCGCGAGTAAACTTATGACACTGGCTCTCACTCTTTTTACTCAAATTGCGCCCGGATTGTCACATAATCCGCCCCTTCTCCCGCCCCCTTTCCTCCCATTTTTTCCATTTCAGCATAGAGAACAAAAAGAAACCCAAGGTACGTTTCAGCAGTGATCAGTCAAGAGAACCCGCTTTTGTACCTCCTGACACAGGAAATGACACCGAGACCGAAATGACACCGAGACCGAAATCCCGTTGTGTCCAAACAAATCGTGACAGCAAGAATCTTTATAACGAAAATGACCTTGTACAAATGGCCTCAGTATTAATAAAATACTTGACCGCCCCCTCCCCCATTTCCCCCAAGCTCCTTCCTTTTTTTTCCTTCCGTTGTGATGGTGCCATACAGTCGCTTATTTCGTCTCGGTCTTGTTTCCTTATAATAGGTTGTCAAGATAGCACTAATGTCAGTTTGGTATCACTGTAGAGAAATAGAGATCTGAGACTGACAACAACAACGAAGCCGTTTTAAATGTTTCATTTGAAAATGGGAATGGGCTGGTCACGTCGGTGGCATAAATTTTAATGATAACAGATAGATAAAAATGTACTGAATGAAGATCAAGAACAGGAAAACAGTAAAGAGGCAGACCAGAAAAAAGTTGGCTAGAAGACACAAGAGCCCGGATGGGTACCTGGATACGGAGAACAGCTCATAGAACAAAGTGGAGGTCATTGTTGGAGGGCTTCATCCTGCAGTGAGTGGACAACGCCTGGTTCTTGGTCAAGGTTCGAAGTGTTACGACCAACTACTAATCAAAGTAGAGACTCTTGATTATTTCAAATGGATGTGTCGCCCATGAACTGCCACGCACTACAGTGCCGTGATGTTTTCCAGTCTGCCCTCTTCAAACATCGTCTGGCTCAGATCTTTCTCCACATGTTTTGCTGATGGGCGATGTAGTGTGAAGTGTCGACAGCTACTTTTATTTATTAATATTATTATTATTATTATTATTATTATTATTACTATTATTA